CACAGCCCACGACCGGTTTCGCCCTTCTTGGGGCTCATCAGGTAGGCGCAGTCCCCGGGTTTCCGTCAACCTTATGTTCTACTTGAAACCGAATTGTACGAAATTAGCGAAATACATTCATTTGCAAACAAACTTGCGATATCGGCCACCCTATGTGTAATGGATTACAAATATATATGTATCGCGATATGTCGAATATCGTGGCGACTGAAACATGAGGCAGCCTGGTGCAGCACATTCAGTTGCCTGGAAACATCAAAACCGAGAGATTCAGCTGGATTCTAGATCAGTCTCTCGCAAGACCATATTTGTTTGCAAATGAGTGTATGTTCGCTAATTTCGTGCAATTTGGTCTCAAGTAGAACATAAGGCTGACGGAAACTCGGGGACTACGCCTACCTGATGAGCCCCAATAAGGGCTGTCGAGGAATTTCAGCAACCTTGTGAGTAGTGCATTACAAATATATACAGAGTTACAGTGCTTTTTAGCATAGATTTGCTCCAATTGCAGGACGAAATTTCCGGTGAAATTATTCATTCTCTTAAGGCAAATTGCCAAGACCACCAAAAGTATCTGAACGCACGCCAGAGGGACTAAAACGGCTAGTGTATCAACCAAATTGCACGGAACCACGCTCAAACTGTCATTGATCGCCAGACAGACACATTCGTCGACCGTAGGAAAAGCCTGCAGTTCATGTTACGAAATTTGAAGCCCAAGTTGCTGGCAATTAAGTAAGACTCATCGATCAGCACTTTGAGCAAAACATGCTGACTTAGATGGCGGAACTGATCAGGTGACTAGTTCTCCACATCAATAAGTGTCTCCTTTTTCGTTTTCCTATATGAATAAGCATTTGTTTTACTTCCGCGACTGCTGAGAGTAAAATTAATGTCCGCATATCCTCTCTCCACTTTGACGAATTGTAAAAAGGGGATCAATCAAGTTTTAAAGTCATTCAGTATGACCGATGAAACTGGTGAGGAGACCGGAAACGCATGGTAAGTGAATAGTCTTGCAATGGACCTCAATTATTGGAGACATTCAATAGGAGATTCACGTGATCCACGATGTGGTCAGCCACAATAACGACTACATTTTGATTGCGGCTGGAATGAACAGTCTATAGGCCAGTAATATGTGATATTGTGCAAAACAGCTGCAGAGTATTCTAGAACAACATGACGTTGAAATCGTACACGCTAGTCGGTGCGCTGAACCATCACCTCGTGGTGCCATCTGGGCAGTCCGGACGTCCGTCTGGGAAGGCCAAGATTTCAACAACTCCAGATGGAGCTAACTGCCCTATCTGGTTTCATTTTGCCGGTTACTTTCTACAATAAACAACAAGATTCACCGAGCCACTCCACACTAGTCCCAGCCATTAAACAGAAGAGACTTGTGGGTCTCGCGTGAGAGGACTGAGCCGGGCGCTGCAAATGGAAAGATAACTTGGTAGTTCATCGTCGAATTCACGCCTTGGGAGTGCTGGCACCACCATGGTCACCTAGTTAGTCTGCGCCGATTGTTCTCACCTATTTCCGACGAAGATTTATCAGAGTCAGCACCAAGAACAAGTGCAGCTCGCTCAGCATAATACAGAAAAGTTTGGCCGAGTGGGGACTTTCACTGCCCGCTGGTCCCAGTCTCTCAGCTGGACAAGAAGTCATCCGTCTAGTCACTGACAGACTGCGCTGTTCGTGAGATCGAAGCAACATTTTTCTGGCTGGCGGGTTACTGATATCAGAACCACGTTGCGTGCTCGTAAGCGGCAACTTGACGAATCGTCATCTGGTGGCCCCGACCAAACCATCGATCAAACAGCTGTTGATCTGATTCAAACAAACCGTGGATGGCGTACTGTCACTTTTGAAATCTCATTCTGACCTTCTGGCATTCGCCAGTGAGTTGCAGTCTGGTATTGTGAAAACGGAGCACGTCTTGTTACTTCTGGATTCCCAGGACATTATCATACAGTGTGCCGACTAACAAATAGGAATTCTCCCAGTCAACTAAACTGCCATCCATGCCTTATATCATCAGAGTCGGGAACATGCAGCGTCCACTGTGCTCGATGCGCCATGGACGAAACTATATAAAGGACAGAACTGTAAAACGAATTGTGGACTAGACTAACGAGACAATAATACCGCAAAGGTCACACCAAACTTCGCGGTCCTTTTAGGGTGATTTCATTCGTGGAAGCAACCAGTGCTTCAAAATTTACGCCGTATATTTCTGTTCCTGCTAGGTAAGGAAGATGGTTACCGATAGATACGATGGTAGTATCCGGGGATGCTCCTCTACTGTACTTCAGATGCGAGTTGAACGTTAAGGATACCATCTGGACCGGAGGAACTTCAGGTATGTTTGAGGACAGAACTTCACCTTTGCCGTTCAACTATCGTACAGGCTGTCGAACGCTTGTGACCTCAGTTTTAAACGGTCAAACCGCTACGTTACTTCTGCTGTATCATGACCTTGAGAAAGCAAAATTCACTTTCGCTTCAATGCGGAATTAAACGAATCTCGGAGGGTCGTGTTCGGTCATGCGATTGTGGAAGTTATTACCTGACTGGGGCACGAATTAGAGGGATAAAATCTTTTGGATGTGTGTGTAAACGAACGAAACCCATCTGACGATAAACGAACCATTAAATAATGCTATGTTTGTTCAGTAATCCCGAACGTTAACACATACGAAATTTGGCAGTTGAGAAAGTCCGGATGACGTTTTTCAGGTAGGAAATCCTGCGATGGATTCTATCAAAAGGCAGTATCGAATCTTGGGGAAGTTGGCATCGGATAGCTCGGAAAGAGCAAGCGACTTTTTATTTTCTGTATTCAACCTCGGTTAGTTCGAACATTTGTGTTGAATTGACCAATAATATAACACAGAATCCGCCGAATAACAGTTAGCAAACGGGTGTTGATTTTCACTAAAACCGAGAAGCATCAGAAGGCACTTCTGATCGTAGCGATCAATCCGAGTTCCAGTTGCAATCAGCAGCAGAGGCTATAGAGACTAGCTCACGCATTCCCGACCTCCGTGTTCAAAAGAATTTTGAATAGACACGGTATAGCTGGCATCGACTTGTAATAGAGATCCTTTCCTGAAATTCCGGAAGTTATTCTGTTATGGTCACACAGGGGATGCGAATGTAATTATCCGAGACGGTCAGCGGTGTCGATCATCGGAAACTAGGAGATACATCCAAACACTGGAGGCGATGGCGTCATCAGTTAGTTCGGAAGGCAACATCTTTGATGTCCGAAACCTTACCACCTACATGATACGCCAAATCTATCCGCGTTATTAACCATTGGTGAGTTGTATTCCGAGGTTCTCATCCAGGGAGGCGGCAATCGTCAACCCAACGAAGTGTTTTCATACTTTCCATAAATACGCTCATTTACAAATCAGTTTGGTTTTCATGAGAGACTCAACTGAATCTCTCGTTTATGATATTCTATAACTGAATGTGCTGCACACAGGCCGCCTCATGTTTCAGTCGGCACGATATTCGAGATATCGCGGTATATTTTCATAAAGGTTGCTGAAAACTCTTCGACAGCCCACGACTGGTTCAAGTAGAACATAAGGTTGACGGAAACTCGGGGACTGCACCTACCTGATGAGCCCTAAGAAGGGTGAAACCGGTCGTGGGCTGTCGACCAGTTTTCAGCAACCTTGTAAGTAGTTCCCTTTATGTTTTCATACTTCTTTGTCAGGCTAAGCGAGAAAAACATCATGAGACAGACGATCCTCGAGCATTGGAAGTATATGTCCTAACCAATGTGGGAAGTTTCTT